TTAAAGGTACGTTTGTAACAATGATGATAAATAGTATTTATTGTTCAAGGCCAATGTTTGTTGTGGTAGAATCATGATTTACGTGATACCATGAGCAGTCAAAATAACTCATCATAAAAAACGAAAATAAGTGAATAGCCTTGAACTTAAAGAGATATGTAAAGATTCAGAGATATATAGTGTGAGGTATGTGATACTTAAAAGTGCAAAATGGTAATTCAAATGGGGTCACTTTAACCTAACCTATCAAGACCCTAAATTCCCAACAAATCCTAGTAATATTCAAAATGTCATCCTTATCTATGCCCTTAGGGGAACAGGTTGCAAGTATTCATGTAACATGGCATACCTTGACTGTAACATGGCACATATTGACAGTAACATGGTGTACCTTGACTGTAACATGGAACACCTTGACTATAACATGCCATACCTTTACTGTAACATGGTGAACCTTGATTGTAGCATGGATGATGTACCTTGACTGTAACATGGCATACCTTGACTGTGACATGGCGCACCTTGACTGTAACATGATGCACCTTGACTGTAGCATGGATGTTGTACCTTGACTGTAACACGACACACCTTGACTGTAACATGGCATACCTTGACTGTAACATGGCATACCTTGACTGTATATGACATACCTTGACTGTAACATGGTGCACCTTGACTGTAACATGGTGTACCTTGACTGTAACATGGAACACTGACTGTAACATCATGCACCTTGACTGTAACATGGCACACCTTGAGTGTACCATGGTGCACCTTGACTGTAACATGGTGCACCTTGACTGTAACATGGTGTACTTTGACTGTAGCATGGTGCACCTTGACTGTAAAATTATAGCTGAGATGTTTAAAGTCCCCGTCTAAAGTTTGAAAATATTTTTTTATCATTCATTTACTATTTGTCAGGACTTAAAAAGTAATTTTAGAGATTTTTGAACAAAAAAAAAATTTTGAAAAAAAAGTTGTGAGCATTTCATTTCTCAAATATTCAAATTTCCCGCCATTTTTCAAAAAAAGTTGAAATTTCTTAATCATCAAATATTTCTTAATACATTTCAAAAAAGATTATCTTTTAAACACCAATGCAAAGATTGAACAAAGGACGCACTATTTCAATTATAAAATGCCATATTTAATGGGCCACTTCAATGTTTTAGCATACCAAATATATTTTGAAACATTAGTGATGTCACTAAGGTAACAAAAACTTTTTGAAAAAAATTGAAATTTTTTTTTCGATGTCAATCTTTTCTAAATATGCTAGACTTTCATAAAAAACCAATGTTGATTGTCTAACCAGGTTAAAAGGAAGAATAAATTATGTTTTAGATATCATTATACCATTGGTTTCTATGAGAACTAAAATTTTGAAATGCGTTTTTCTCAGAACCATTTTCATGCACTGATAAGTTCATTTCTTGCTTATTTATGAACCGATTTTCTTAATTTTTTCGGCAAATAACATGGGAGGATGAATGCTATGCATTGGTATGGATTGTGGCTAATTAGAAGATATGAGTGACCTCTAAAAGTTGGTTTTAAATAAATTCACAAATTTTGGAACAAAAAGTCTATCAAAAACCACTTTTTGAAATTTTAAAAAAAAGTTTCACATATCACACTTTGATAACACTGGGTAAGACTACAATATAAGCCAAAGTGGTTTAAACTTTATATGGGGCCTTTAACTGAGCTGTTATCTTCTTGGATGATTATCATTCTGTCTTGCGACTAGTAGCATGCTCTGATGTACGGTAAAACCCGAACACAAATCACAATGAAATTTTTTTCTCAATCCTGATATCTCCCACTTACTCAGATGTTAAGAAACATTGTAATGTGAACACCTGCTAATTCTAACACTTTTGGCTCATCCTGTTCAGATTAGATATTATTTACTGCACATTGAGAAGACTTTTTACAATTTATCATATTGGCATTCAATCTATTGCCCAATAGGCAACTGTTTTTCAAGTTCATTGCCAAGAATGAAAAATGTTTGCCATTGGCAGCTTCACAATCTGTTAGGAACCCTGCATTTTGTGTTCTATATAGAAAAAATACTTCCATTTCTACAGTAGTACACCACTTTTCAGTGCATTCATAAATATAAAATACCAGCATGTTATAGGTTCAAGTCAATACTCAACACATTGTATTTTGACATTAATTCACAATAAATTAGGCTCTATACCATATGTATCCTGTTTTATTTCCTCAAATATAGATATAACTTAGACTAATTTAAAGCTGGACTACGCTCCGAAACGCAATCTTGGGTTGTTTCAGGGGTAAACTTTATCATTTTGAGCTTAATGAAAGATTATAGAATGATGAACAAATGGGGCAAATCTTGTGTAGAAATACTTACGATAAATGTGTCATTTCAAAGATTTTTCATTGAATTTGGAAAGGTTTCTAAATGAAGAACGTGACGTCACTTCCGAATCATAGCATTCAAAATAAGTAGCGTTTAATTACTTCCACCATTCATAATAATACGGTGGTGAAGCGGTAGAATCCTCGCCGAGCTCGCGGGAGGTGCGAATGAGATAATCTAGTCAGAGAATCTCATATTTTAATGTATTTTACCAAGAACGAAGGCTATCTTGCATTAAATCTTTACCCCCCCCTCTTAAACATTTTTTTATTCTACTTAGGATATGATAAGAAATACATTTTTATTAACTTTTGCCTGTTTATTTAGTCGTTCAACTGCTTTTTAACGTCATCAGTAATTTGAAGATCCTGGTATATCTGTCTATAAAAATCCTTTATGTTTTTAGTATTATTTACCCAGCATCTTTTATAGCCAGTTTATAAGATAGCCCCAAGTTGGTATATGTTGTAATGTCAAGAAGACTGAACTTGCCTACTCCTCAGATTTTCCCGCCCTGGTTATCATTACTCTGACGTTCAACCCCCCCCCCCTCCCCGGGCTAGAAATTCTTTCAAAATCACCATTCTGAGCTCTCTTTGCTCTCTTATTTGGTATCTAAAAGTGTTCACCTAAGGAGGTGTTCCACTCATAGAGGCTCAGGAACTCTGAAGTGTTCGACTAATAGAGAAGTTCCACTTTAGAGGTGTTCCACTTTACACATTTCCCTATATCCTTAAGACAGTCTATCTATCACCTAGCTTGATTTTTTGCTTTGGAAAATTGAGATGCTTCGGAGTATCCAAAACACATGGGACTATTGTTTTGAAACAAAAGCCCTTGACAAAATTGAATGTTTAATATATAAGTCATGTTTTCTGTAACTTAAATAAGTTTAAAACAAGAAGAGCAATAGTCAGTGATGCTCAAGTTAAATTATTTAAATATAGGAGTAAAATAATTAAAATAGATTAAATCAAGAGAACAAATGAATGAGAATGTGATATCAGTATATATATATGTCAGATGTATGTGTATTGTTTTGTTGGAGTTTGTGTGGTTTTTAACTATTTCATGTGGTTTATATGGAAATCCTGGTTTGAACTTTCCAATAAAAAATCTTGTTAGTTGAGGTTTTTAGAGTCATATGAAAACAAAGACCACTTGATATAACAATATAGTGGCAATTGTTCTATGTCATGCCTTTCATGCTTTTTAATAACCAAAAGTGCAGTTACCTCGTGAAAATTACATAACAATTATTATCAAGAGGGACAAAAAGGTGTATTTGTCTTTATTTTGCAATCCTGAATCACCAATCTAGGAATAAGGAGGTGGAGATATCCGAGACATTACTGAAAAAACAAAATGTATATGAGCCAATCTACAGGAAAAGTGGTCTTATCACACATTTTTTCAATATTCTGATTTTTTTGGTTTAGAAAGTTCAAAGAGACCTTTCAAATGAGCCATGGCTTATGTCTTAACAATTTTTCCTTGCATATAGACCAAAAAGTGATAAGACCGGTTTTCCTATGGCCAGGCTCATATATTATTGTGAAAGAAGAAAATTTAGTTTTGGAACTGTTACAAAAAGGAGTATTTTAATATAGCCTCTGTGGGTGTGTAATGGTATTGTTTGGTCGAGTAAGATTTCTTGGGAATGTTTACTGATTGAGGCACTTTACCTTGGTCTATAACTTTCTATGCAAATTATTTGAACAGATCGATATCTGAAAGGCTATTCATGTAGTATTCAATGTCAGTGAATATTTTGTATAAAAAAGGTTTCAAAAAACTTGAATTGCTTTTCAAAAGAATGAAAGACAAGCATATTTATTTTAGAATGATGCTTTGTGCACATAATGACTCAACATTAAATCTGGCTCCCTATTAAACGAGACCTACTGGAACTGAAAGTTCAGTAGCTAAGAATTTTCTTGAATGTAGACAAATTGGGATAGTTGATACATATACTATTAGAGATGGCAACAGCATCAGTAACTCAATATGATAGATTTCAAGATATTCTGAAATGTAAAGTCTGCTATGAGGACTTAGATGATCCAAAACTTTTGCCTTGTCATCATTCATTCTGTCTGAAATGTGTTGAGGGTTTAGTTGATAGTAATAACCCAGAGGAACCTCTACAATGCCCTGTGTGCCGAGATGAATGGCAGGTTCCACCTGGGGGACCATCTGCTTTACGAGCTGACTTCAAGATCAATACATTAAAGGAGATACTAGCAGCTAACAGTAGCACTGAGCCTGCAAAGTGTGGGCGTCACCCTGCTAACCCCTTGTCATTTTTCTGTCAAGAGGACAATCACGTCATATGTCATAGCTGTGTTAAAGATCATGCAGGACATTCTTTGCTAAACATTGATGAAGCTGTGGAAGTGTTTGAGGAGGAATGGAACAAGGGCAAGGAAGAACATTTAAAATTGTTAACAGACCGACTAAAGAAAGTAGAAGAGGACAAACTTTACTTTAAAAACGAAAATGAACGTCTTACTGAAGAATTGGAACAAGATCACAAAAGGGTTATTGAAGTAATCAGCAACCTGTTTTCATCTTTAAAGCAAAACATTGATGAGTACCACCAGAAAGAATGTCAGTCAAGAGCAGCAATCAAAGAGAATTTGCAAATATCTAAGGCCATGATTGAGACCTTTACAACATATATTGGAACAATACAGGACAATGTAGAAAAGGTCAGATTATTCACAGGTCTGAATGTACAAGAACTATTGATCCCTGAACATTCACCTCCTGATCCATACCAGTTCAAACCCTGTGAGATAATACACAATCGAATTATATTTGGCAGTCTGTATCATAAAAGGGATGATAATAGGATGCCTAGTATGAGTATGCTTGATCACTTCTTTGAGAGTCAACCAACAGAGTTCACCAAAGAAACCCCAATGAGTATTTCAAGTGAGCAAAGGAGTGAAGAGTCAATGAGTATTTCTGAGAGTGGTTCCATGGTCCAACCTCAACCTGAGATGCCTCTTCCAATGCCTACACAGAAATATCTACAAAAACCAATTGTTAGAAAGGAGACCAATCTGTCTATAAGCTCATCTGAAAATGTTGTTTTTGATATAGCTGAGGTTGATACTTCAACACGAGTTGCAGTAAGAGAAGAGGAAGTCCTGTTCTACAACAACTCAGAGTTAACAAATACAATACATGGCAGAATGAGGCAGGCAGCTATTACACCTGACAATTGCATTGCACTAACCAACCTCACAGATGTGATAAGCATCTATGACAAGAAGGGTGTACACAAACCAGACATTAAGATTCCCTTCACTAACCTGTATGGAATTGCATGTAATGCCAATGGAGAACTTGTGGTCAGTGACTGGAAGACAGGGACTGTGGCTCACATAGACTATAATACTGGGACAGTTGTGACTACAACCCCAAAAGGATTATTTCAAACACCTTCTTCTGTTGCTGTCAACCTGGACAATGATGTAGTAGTGGCTGATCTCACCAAGCATTGTATCACAGTAATAGACAGGTATGGCAATAAGAAAATGGAGTATGGTACTGAGGGGTTTGATGATGGGCAGCTCAAGCATCCACTCAGTGTGTGTACTGATGGAAATAACATCATTGTAGCTGATACAGGGAACCACAGAGTAAGCCTCATCTGTTCAACTGGCCATCTCATCAAACACCTCCTCATTGAGGAAGATGGATTGTTTGGCCCTTCATGTCTGACTATAGGTCATCAGGGACACCTGCTGGTTGGCGATTGGGATGGAAACTTGTTTGAAGTAGAATTCAAAGAGTGACAGTAATGGATTGACAGAATGAAGGATTGACAGTAGAATAAACAAATGTCAACAATCAATTACTTTGTCTCTTACACATTCCTATAAATGTGACTTGTCACTAAATAGAGTGTATATAGTATCTATTTAATCAGAATTTAATAAGACTGCCTTGAGGAAATATGGAATTAAACACTATAAAGTGGTAAGTCAACCTAACATACACATTATTGAAATGATCATATGTACATGTACAGTTGTATCAGATGGTTTCTGTATAATATATTTTTATAGCATCAATACATGCCATATCTAATCAAAAGTCTAAATAACCTAGCGGCAGCCAACACTGCCCTCCTTTTGTATTGCCCCCCCCCCCTCTAAAAATGTCTCAGAAATAAAAAAAATCTCCCCTGAATGGATACTAGATCAAACAACCCTTATAAAAGGAAACACCTCTCCCTATATAAAGCTGTTTGGTTTAAAGAACTTGGTTTAGACTACTTCAAATCATGATTTGTTCCTTAATAAAATTGAGTCCTGTCATACATTGTATATAAAATCAGACTTTTAAAATTGACTGAACCTTGAGGTCATCAATTTGAAAATGTAAATCTTTAATAAGTAATCAGACTTGGTTAAAAATTGAAAGATTACAGTTGCATATTCAGTATTTAGACATTTATGGAATTAGCATATCTGAAGGAAAAAGTATCAATGCAAAAATATTTTGGTTATTTACCTCTCAAATCAACTGTAACAACTGTTAAAAATCACCTACTGCCTACTGTGAATACTGTTCGGTTATATACAGGATGTCCCAAAAAAAGATAAAATTTGGTCATCTTACAAACCGTTTTTAAGATCATCAAAAAAATCTGAAAGTTTCGCTAAGTATTTCTAATTTTCAATTTCCAGTAGTGCATGAAGCTCTACATCGATCATGTTAGAGGTCATTTAGGGCATGTCACCTAAAATATCAAACTTCTCAGTAACACCCTATGCAGACAGAGCCTGTGGGAAATATTGGGTGGGGAGCAAATGAGCGGAGGGTGCGGAGCTAACGGTCATTTTTGAATTTAAATTTGGGATATTTCTGGAACTAAGCCGTTTTGGGACTTCAAATATACCAAGATATGTGTATTTGACACCAAATATCAATACAATTGTGAAAATAGTAGCGCAATTCATTCTATAGCGACGCAGTGTGCCTTAAACCTTTCCCAGACCTATATATTTTGAAATTATCCTTTTAATACTGAGTCCCCAGCATTCATAAAAAATGGTGTTCAAGGTACACTATCTATACAAATTATTTTTGCATCTTGGAAGCCAGGCAGTATCAGTGTGATTTTATAAAAATTCGGAAATGTTTTTCAGATATGAGCCCCCTCTAAATATTGGGTGCGGAGCAGCTCCATAAACGTAGCTCCACACCCAATATTTAGAGGGGGCTCATATCTGAAGAACATTTCCGAATTTTTATAAAATCACACAGATACTGCCTGGCTTCCAAGATGCAAAAATAATTTGCATGGGTAGTGTATCTTGAACACCATTTTTTATGAATGCTGGGGACGCAGTATTAAAAGGATAGTCTCAAAATATATAGGTCTGGGAAATGTTTAAGGCATACTGCGTCGCTATAAAATGAATTGCACTACTATTTTCACAATTTTATTGATATTTGGTGTCAAATACACATATCTTGGTATATTTGAAGTCCCAAAACGGCTTAGTTTCAGAAATACCCCAATTTTAAATTCAAAAATGACCGTTAGCTCCGCACCCTCCGCTCATTTGCGCCGCACCCAATATTTCCCACAGGCTCTGTCTGCATAGGGTGAGTAATAATTCACTATAGTTTCTATTAATTTTTTAACTTTTCATCATGTGAGAAGTTTAGCTTTTTTGATGAGAAAAAAAGAGTTATTCTTGTTTCATTTTGATATTTTTTGGGGACACAGGTATTGTTTAAATTAAACAAATAAGATAAGTTGATCTATCCTGCTTTATTATTATGTCACCACCAAAAAGTGGTGACATATTGTTATGGTCTCCGTTTTTATCACACCATCGGTGGGATATAGTCGTCATACTGGTCGTGGTCGTGATCGTGGTCGTGATCGTCCCGCTTTTTGTCATCGCCGTTTAAGGAAAACTGCTCATCAGATTTTCTCCAAATTCGCAGAGATGATAGAGCATATGAAGTACTAGAGCTGATTAACTTTTGGGTGGCCATCTTGTTTTCTGACGGCCATTTTGAAGGTTTTTCGAAAAATCTTGTCATCGCCATTTCAGGAAAACCGCTCATTGGATTTCCTTCAAATTCACACAAATGATAGAAGATATCAAGTACTAGAGCTGATTAACTTTTGGGCGGCCATCTTGTTTTCTGGCAGCCATTTTGAAGATTTTTCGAAAAATCTTGTCATCGCCATTTCAGAAAATCCGCTCATCGGATTTCCTTCAAATTTACACACATGATAAAGGATATCAAGTACTAGAGTTGATTAACTTTTGGGTGGCCATCTTGTTTTCTGGTGGCCAATTTGAAGGTTTTTCGAAAAATCTTGTCATCGCCAATTTAGGAAAACCGCTCATCGGATTTCCTTCAAATTTACACAAATGATAGAGGATATCAAGTACTAGAGCTGATTAACTTTTGGGCGGCCATCTTGTTTTCTGGTGGTCATTTTGAAGGTTTTTTGAAAATCTTGTCATCGCCGTTTCAGGAAAACCGCTCATTGGATTTCCTTCAAATTCACACAAATGATAGAAGATATCAAGTACTAGAGCTGATTAACTTTTGGGCGGCCATCTTGTTTTCTGGCAGCCATTTTGAAGATTTTTCGAAAAATCTTGTCATCGCCATTTCAGAAAATCCGCTCATCGGATTTCCTTCAAATTTACACACATGATAAAGGATATCAAGTACTAGAGTTGATTAACTTTTGGGTGGCCATCTTGTTTTCTGGTGGCCAATTTGAAGGTTTTTCGAAAAATCTTGTCATCGCCAATTTAGGAAAACCGCTCATCGGATTTCCTTCAAATTTACACAAATGATAGAGGATATCAAGTACTAGAGCTGATTAACTTTTGGGCGGCCATCTTGTTTTCTGGTGGTCATTTTGAAGGTTTTTTGAAAATCTTGTCATCGCCGTTTCAGGAAAACGACTCATCGGATTTCCTTCAAATTTACACACATGATAGAGGATATCAAGTACTAGAGCTGATTAACTTTGTGGCAGCCATCTTGTTTTCTGGTGGCCATTTGAATTTTTTTCGAAAAAATCTTGTCATCGCCAATTTAGGAAAACCGCTCATCGGATTTCCTTCAAATTCACACAGATGATAGAGGATATCAAGTACTAGAGCTGATTAACTTATGGGCTGCCATCTTGTTTTCTGGTGGCCATTTTTAAGGTTTTTCAAAAAATCTTGTCATTGCCACTTCAGGAAAACTGCTCATCGGATTTCCTGTACATGATAGGGGATATCAAGTTCTAGAACTTATTAAATTTTGGGTGGCCATTTTGTTTTCTGGCGGCCATTTTGAAGGTTTTTCGATAAATCTTCTCATCGAAAACAATCCACTTTGTCATATTGCCTTAAATTTTAGCTCAAGATGTGAGCTATTGATTAATATGACCAAAGCCAACATTTTTTTCTTGTTCTTGAAATTTGTAAACATAATAGGAGAACAGTTTTCCTGGTTCATAGTGTCTGCCTATTTGATGGTGTGATCTCGTTCACGTCCTGTGCCTTGTTTTTATGGCAGTTGGTGAGTGGTGGTCGGCGTTTGTTACAAATTCTTACAACTTCCAATAATTTAACAAATACTGTATGGACTGACTTCAGTTGTTTTCAAAATCATCTACATGTTTACAGAAGTTCAAATCTGACTTTATATTTAAGATTTGACCTTCAGTGACATTTTCAAGGTCAAAAAAAGGTCGAAAAGGTCATTTTCACCCCGATTTTAATTTACCGATTTTTTTTTCAAAATCATCTATGTTATCAGAAGTTCAAATCTGATTTAAGATTTGACCTCCAATGACTTTCTTAAGGTCAAAAAAGGACAAAAAGTTGTTTTTTTAACTTGACCAATTTTTCTTTCAAAATCATCTACAATTTCTCAACATTTCAAATCTGACTATAGATTTGACCTTTAATGACCTCTTCAAGGTCAAAAAGGTTTTATTATCTTGCTTCAACTAGGTGGTGACATCTTGTCATGTTAATGCCTTGTAAAAAGCTTTTATTTTACAAAAGTATTTCTTGTAAAGTGGAACATTTATGTTAATAAAATACCGTTATAAGTTGAACACTTTTCAAAGTGCTGTGATCAATTGGTTTAAGTTAAACTGAACCTCTGTACATCAAATAAATCTCAAGTTGAACACTTTAGAGGAACTAACATGTGGTCGACTTACTCCGACCTTGGATGCCCAAAGATGTCCGAGAGCTTCTATAATATCTTCATTTCTTGAATAGAGTGACATGCATTTATACAAGAAACTCAAGTAAATCAATACTCTTTCTAATAATTTGATTTTGATTATGTAAAAGAGAGCTTCATACAAGTTTGTTCCAACCTTTAGCAGACCACCGGCGACCGCGTCCGCCCATTCAAAATTACCGCCAGAATCCACCGGCGGATCCGGACGACACAAATCTAACTTTTGAAAACTTTACTTTTTCCCGCCGTTCTTATGATTCAATTAGATTGTCCGACCTATTCAGTCCTTAGTAGGTGACTTCCTGTTGACCTAGAAATGGCGATGTTTCGAAAAATATT